TCCTCCCTTTAGGATTAGTAGTCCTAAAAGCCTCCAGGATTGATAGGATTGGGACGGGTAATAGCATGCTAAGGTAACGACACCATTTCGCGTTTAATACCTTAACGGGGTGGGGAAGGGTAGATATGGATATGATGACCACACGATAACACCACGTGTATAAACGGTTACTAGGTGTTGTGTGGGGTGATCCATATTGTGTATAAACCTAGGACCCCTTCCCTTATTTGTCCATTTTATTTTGCCAAACTCCAGCTTTTAAACTGCTTTTAACTTGCAGCAACTATGTAAAAATTTCTCCTTTATTCAAGATTTTAAAACTGCTTCCTTTATCAAAATTCAGTCTCTTTAACTTCCTTAAACCCTTGCAACCATTATGTAAAAATCCCTCTTTGTATTTGTAATTCTTGTTTGCCTACTTATTGTTTGCATTTAAAGTCACAATTGTAGCATGGCCGGGAACCACACTAGTGGATCTTGAGGGGTGCCTAACACCTTCCCCTCGAGATAATGTCTAGCCCTTACCCGAACTCTAGTTTTCAAATTCAAAACCCTTAGTGTCCTAATGCACTTAATCATTAGGTGGCGACTCTTCAATTCCAAAAACCCAATTTTCAAACGGGAATAGAGTTGTTTTCCTGAATGTCGTAAACCTGATCTCGCTCTAGAGAGAGAAAAAGGGGGCGTCGGCAATGTCGTGCACTTGTTGATTTCTGTTTTCATTATTGACGATTTAGTTGTGTTATTTCCTTCGTTACTGGATGACTCTTATTCGGAAATTGTTGTTTCCCCACAGCATGCTCCCCCTCCCATACTATTTATCTGTCTCTGTATTTCGACCCCGCTATATATATATATATATATATATTGCACAGGTTTATGTGGTAGTTCGGTCTAGTCTCGTCACTACTTCACCGGGGTTAGGCTAGACACCTACCAGCACATGGGGTCGGTTGTGCTGATACTACACTCTGTGCTCTTTTGCACAGATCCAGGTTTTGGACAGCAGCAGCAGTAGCGCGGGAGCCAGCCTTCAGTCCAGCGAGATACCGAGGTAGCCTTGCAGGCGTCCGCAGGCCCGCGTCTCCTCTATCCTTTATTTTAGTCTGTTATCTCCTTGTACTCGAGACAAACAGTTATATTTTCTTGCAGGCATTGTATTTAGTACTATTAGTAGTTCGTGAGTTTTGTGACACCAGTCTTGGGTAGAGGCTTATGTTGAATTTTCCGCATTCCTATTCAGTTTTCTCTAATTTAAGACTTCAGAAATTTTTACACCAATAGATCCCTTATCTTCCCACGAGTTTATACATATTTAAAAGTTCTCAAATCCGACCTCAAATGGTCCTTCAATTTCCCAATCAAAAGTCCAAGTTTCCAAGCCCTAGTTCTTCAATTTTTAGCTTAAGTTCAATGATTTTCTAGGTGGAATTCTCATAATAATCGAGTTTTAAGTCCAAGAATCTTACCTCAACGTGATTCCCCTTGAATACCTCTTCAATCCCCTTCAAAAATCTCTAAAAATGACCAGCTATGGAGGAAATAAGCCCCAAGTCGCGGACAAGACGAGTTTAAAAACATTCTGCCCAGGTCTAATTTCCTTCTTCGCGAACGCGGTTAGAGCCTCGCGTTCGCGAAGCACAACATAACTTTGACCGAAATTCCTCTTACGCGATCACTACCAAGCCCTCGCGAACGCGGTGCTTTACCCACACGAACCTTCGCAAACGCGTCCCATACAGCGCGAACGCGATGAGTTAATTCCACTGAAGCTCAGCCTCTCAATTCCTTCTATGCGAACACGACTATATGCCCGCGAACGCGATGCACAATCTCGCAGCCCTTCGCGAACGCATCACTTGCCTCGCGAACGCGAAGGCTAAATTTACACCTCTCTCAGCTCACTCTTCGCGAACGCGAGGGTCCTCTCGCGAACACGAGGGTCCTCTCGCGAACGCGAAGGCCAAAATGTCTGCAACTACTGGAACTCAAAATCTGCAACTTTCTAAACTTCAAAATGGTCTGATTGACCACCTGAAACTCACCCGAGGCCCCCGGAACCTCAACCAAAGGAACCAACATATCCTACAACCTTATTCAAACTTGTTCCAATCCTCAAAACATCTCAAACAATATCAAATCAACCAAAACTCATCGGATTTAAGCCTAAGTTTCTAAAAATCTTCCGAATTTCGCTTTTGATCAAAAACCCAACCAAATCATATCCGAATGACCTAAAATTTTGTACACACATCCCAAATGAAACAAGGGAAATACTGTAACTCTCGGAATTCCATTTCGACCCCAATATCAAAATCTCGCCTATCAACCGGAAATCGCCAAAATATCAACTTCGCCAATTCAAGCCTAAAACTACTCCAAACCTCCAAAACTCATTCCGATCACGCTCCTAAATCTTAAATCACTTCCCGAAGCTAACCGAGCCATCGGAACTCACATCCGAGTCCTCTAACACCCAAGTCAACATCCGGTTGACTTTTCCAACTTAAACTTGCTTAAAAGAGACTAAGTGTCTCAAACCTTACCAAAATCATTCCAGATTCGATCCGACCAACCCGATACCACAAAACACGGATAACAAAGCATAAAGAAGCAAAAATGGGGGAAACAGAGCGGTAACTCATGAGACGACTAGTCGGGTCGTCACAGACTTTTTAATCTTATTTTATTCTTTTTCTTTTACATTTTCTTTCTCTATCTCTCTTTCTTCACCATTTATGATCCCTCTTGTGCCCATAAACCCCCCCCCCCCCCCTCCCTTACCCTCTCCGCTCTTTGTTGCCGATCACCGTGCATTACCTACCAAAAAATTCTTATATTAAATCAAAAGCTTGTCAGAGATAATAGACACGATAAAATTGTGAGGATTGTTTCCTAATATTTTATTTACTATATCTTATTCGCAAGTTATATCATGTTGCTTTTGACCATAAATATATCTCAGTGTCACTATATGCATAATAATAAGGGAAAATGCATAAGTACCCCTTAACCTATACCTGGATTCCTAGTTATATACTTTTTCTTTGTGGGAATCCTATTACCCCCCTAAACTTATTTTCAATGAAATTGTTTGCACCCTTAACGCTAACGTGGCAGAGTGTGTGTATTTTACTCTCCTAAAGGAGAGTGAGAAGCAAGAAAAAATAATTTTCAGATTTTTTTTATTTTTTTTCCACCATTTTTTCTTACTCTTTTTTTCCTTTTCCTTTTTCTTTGGCTTTTTTTCGTTTCTTCTCTAATTCCGGCGGATATTCATTCACCGACGATTTTGTCTATCCGTTTTTCTTTCATTTTTTTTTCACACACAAATTAAACTCTCAAAAAGATCTATTCATAAGCAAAGCAAAATACACTCAGATTTGGGGGAAAAAATTCATCGTCGGAAGCCTTCCCACGCCGAAAAAAAAAATGATGTATTGAAATTTTAACTGGAAAAAGTTTTCTCAGCTTATATTCATTTTTATTTCTTTTGCTCTTCCTCCCACACATAAATTATACTTTCAAGAAAAATTTATATATATATAAAACAAAACACACTTAGATCAGGATAAAATTCTATCGCCGAAAAAAAAAATTCGCCAAAAAAATGGTGTTTGTGAAACTCCAACGACCACCATTTTATGCCGCCGTGACCAAAAAAAAAAAAAAAAGAGAATGAAATAACCAAAAACAATGAGAATAATAAGAATAAGAAAAAAGGATAAGAAAAAGAAGAAAGAATAAAAAACGTACTAAAAATACATGTTGGGCGTTAAGGGTGCAAATAATTACACTTAAAATAAGTTTAGGGGGTAATAGAATTCACGCAAAGAAAAAGTTAGTTGGGAATCCGGGTATAGGTCGGGGGATACTTATGTATTTTCCCTAATAATAAATTTATTTTATATGTGTTCGAAAATGCAAACGCAGAACAAGCGGAATTTAAGAAAATGAGGTGGAAGTGAGAGCGTGCTGGCGAAGAAATAGCGGGGGATAGTCACGTTTTTACCCTTTCTTCATGAGTGCTGTGTAAATATTAAGGATATGGTGTCCTTAACATTTTGCACTACGCACATGAAGTTAAGGGCGCCATGTCCTTAACATTTACACTGCACATATGAAGTTAAGGATATGACCAGACACGTTGTCCTTAAGATTTACACAACATTCATGAAGTTAAGGACACCATGTCCTTAATGTTTACACAGTATCCATATCTAACACAGGGGTATTTTCGTTTAGGCAGATAAAAATTTATTAAGCACTAGCTAAAGAATAAATACATTTGAAACAATATCTAAAGAATAAAGACATTTTTAATTAGTAACTAACTTTGCACTTCCGCTCTTGGCAAGGTGGGGCCCAACAGACACTTGTCAACTGTTGTTGGTTGCGTCTCGCCCACAATAAAACTTTTCCCCGAGAAACTAGAATTGAGGACCAAAGTCAAAGGAACAAATCTTACCAAAGGTAACAATGAAAAATTGCAGACGTGGTAAGTTCTTTGGTTCATTTGATTACATAGCACGCGGAAATATGTGTTAATTTCAAGAACCAAACAGCTCTTGAGCCATTAGTTAGGGACTAATATGGTTACCAGAAACAGGTGAAGATAACAGGGACAGAACCAAAAACAGAAGTTTCCTCACACCATCACAACAAGGTCTCAGCTCGGTTGTGCTGCTATGCTAGTTTTCTGCATCTCTCTCTTTGCATCTGCATATGTGCTTATCCAATAGAATATTATCCCGATTTGGCGACTTTTATTGTTCGATGAATTGTAGATGAAGTTGGTAGTTAAAAATGCATACAAGCTGTTTACTAAATTTCCAAAGAGAAATTACTCGTCGCGAATTTCATTGAACATGCGAGAAAGCTCCTTTTTTTTGCACCCACTTAAGTTTGCCGAAAAACAAAATGTGAGATCATGGACGTCAAAAATATCCAGTTTGGTGAGGGAAAAACAATCCATCGAAGCCATCTACTTGTTCAAAACAATGCTAAGAAATGAACACAAACCCAATTACGTGACAGTTTTATGCATTATAAGAGCTGTCGAAAAATGGGAGCCTATGGTCAAAGGAATTCACGGGTTCACAATCAAAATGGGATTTGAATTGGAACTGCCCGTTGTGACGGCTCTTGTTGGTGTTCACTCTATTTGGGATATGGATACCGCATGGAAATTATTTGATCACACAAGTGGCAAAGATGTAATTTTGTGGAGTGCAATGGTTTCAGCTTGTGTGAAGAATGGAGAGTACGTAGAGGCTGTTGAGCTTTTCAGGAAAATGCTATCCTTTGGTGTGGAACCAAATTATGTTAGCGTTGTGGGGATTGTCCCTGCTTGTGCCAATCTTGGTGCTTTGAAAGTTGGAAAAGAAATTCATGCTTATTCAATAAAAAGTTTGTTTATTTCTCATGTTAATATCCAAAATTCCCTTGTGGATATGTATGCTAAATGTTGGAGTTTGAAGGCTTCCCTAACTGTTTTTCACGGAATAGAGAAGAAGGATCTTGTTTCATGGAGGACTATGATTCATGGATGTGTAGAAAATGACAGTTTCAGTGAAGCTTTGAGTTTATTCTCTGAAATGAGGTATTGTTGCTTTGAGCCAGATGAGAGTGTTATTCGCGAAGTAATTGGAGCATTGTCACAATTGGATGAGATTAAAATTGGGCAGTGTTTTCACAGCCTCGTGCTCAAGCAGGGATATTCGAGATCTGTTTCGGTAGTAACTGCTCTTCTTCACATGTATGGTGGTTTTGGTGATATTCAGTCGGCCAGGAGTCTGTTTGATCACCTGAAACCAAAAGATCTTATTGCCTGGAGTACGATGATTGCAGCATATGCCCAAAGCGAACTGCCTAGTGATGCGTTTCATATATATCAGCAGATGCGATCAGCAAATGAGAAGCCTAACGAGATCATCTATGTCAGCCTATTACGTGCTTGTTCTTCGATGGCTGCTGAAGAGATTGGAGAAGGTATACACGCACAAGTGGTAAAAATTGGAAATACATCAAATGCCTTTTTGATATCCTCACTTATTGACATGTATTGCAAATTTGGACGCATAAGCCAAGGGGAGGCAATTTTCAGTGAATGTCCTAGCAAAGATCTTATTTGTTGGAGCTCAATGATCAATGGTTATGGAATTAATGGGCATGGAAATGAGGCTCTTCAGTGTTTCTTAGACATGTTAAACACTGGGATTAAACCAAATGATGTTGTTTTCATTTCTGTTCTATCTGCCTGCAGTCATTGTGGTCTTGAGTATGAGGCATGGAACTGGTTTTATGCAATGGAAGAGAGATTCAGTGTTACTCCAAAACTTGCACATTATGCGTGCATGGTTGATATGCTTAGTCGTCAAGGCAATGTAGAAGAAGCTCTTGAATTCGTCAACAACATGCCTGTTGAACCTGATAAGCGGATATGGGGAACTCTGCTTGCTGGCTGTAGAAAGACTTGCATATCAATTGAAATATGTGAGATCGTTGCCAAAAGGCTCATTGCTTTAGACCCAGAAAATACAAGCTCTTTTGTGATTCTGTCTAACTTATACGCAGAGCAGGGAAGATGGAAAGAGGTAGAACAGTTGAGGCAACTCATGGATGAGAAGAATTTGAAGAAAGACTTCGGTTATAGCTTAATTGAAACGAGTCTGTAGAAAGGTAGAGAAAATAGACAGATGGTATCTCAGTACTTTATCTACTTGGAAACTCAGTCATAAGTTTGTGAAATCTAATTTCTTTTAAGTGTCCTCTTATTCGCCAATTTTGTTGCCTTATTTCAACCAAAATTTTCAGAAGGGACAGATGAAAATCTCAATTATTTTCCTTCTTATGTGCTCTGAAGTGAGTTTTCACTTTTAGAACTTGAAATTCCTTGGTCTTTATCGGGTATATGACAAGATAATAACATGTCAAGTTACTATTCTACTAAAGCATTATAAAATGTGCCAAGAAGGTCCAATTCTTCAAGCCCAGTGGTTGGATTGAGCTTAAGTTGATATACATGTTTCACGAGTTATCTGAGAGACATTTGTTCCAGGAAAGGGCGAGGCAAAAAAAGAGAAGATGTTTCCTTTTCTGCTATAAAGTTTGTTCCAGACAAACGTTGATTGATAAAAAGGCGCATGCTTGTTCCAGAAACTACAATTTGTATGATCTTTAACTTGTATATAGTCTTTAATATCTTATGTTGTCGTTGATAGGAAATGGCGGTTACTTTTGCCTATGCATATATTCTAAAATAGGTTACCCACCTCTTTTTGCCAGGTGAGTCCGAAACTTAAATGATGCTTTTTTTTTTGTACAAAAAGCACTTTTCTAACGTTTTAAAAAAAAAAGTTACATTAATAGGTAATTCGCAGTATTATATTGCGAATTATCAAAAAAAATAATTTTTTTTTATGCAATTCGCAGTATTATACTGAGAATTGCTTGAGATGGGCCCAACTCATTTTTGAAATAGCATTTCGCAGTATTATACTGCGAATTGCATTAATTCTCAGTATGATACTACGAATTAGACTGATTTTACTGATTTTTGGCCCCACCAATAATAATTAACTGACATACCAATAATTCAAATACATAAAACGCAGTATAATACTGCGAATTACTTTGAAAAATTCTACACCCCAAGCTCGGACTTGCCTTATTTATAGGCGTTTCAATTTTATAAAAATTCATTCAATACTTAAACTTCAAACATACGTTCATTATTCTCTCTTCTCCTTATCAATCATTTTTTTACAATGTCTGAAGTGCCAAAAATAAGGGCTTCACTGTATTGGGGGGGGTGAGGTTGTGGTGGAGAATAACTCTGTGAGGTATAGCTCACCTCCACAGTGTCATGTTAAATTGCCGCTTAATATGGAGTACGATACATTGGTATCGTTGTTACGTAAAAAAATGAGTGAGCGGAGGCGTTCGGTTAGCCTTAAAGTAACCGGTAGATTTCCTTATTCAGTGACTCCGCAGGAGTTTGCTTATTATTCTGAGTTTAACATCGAGGATGATGAAACTCTTAGAGGTTTTTTGCGGATTCCGGATGAATACAGGAAATTTATTGTAATAAAATTATTGGAAATGTACGTCAAGGTGGAGGACCTTCCCAGTAATGAGGGCGTGCATAGCAGGATAACCCCCAGTCATCGGGTGATTATTCTGGAGCAGTTTTTGTCGGACAGATTGCTGATGAAAGAGCTTGCCTTGATTTAAACTTGTCACCACCGGCGAATGAGCAGCCACAAAATAATTTTTCCACTTTATATAATCAACAAGACGACCGGTAAACTTCAATTTTACTATGCTTTAGCGATGTTTTTTTTTTCATGTTTTAATTGAATTGTATTAACACTCATATTTTTTATAGGGGGTACCATCCGGATTTGAATTTTACAAGTTATGACCCCGCCCCTAGTTGGAATATGCGTAGGTCTGGAGTATTGGACCACGGTGGTCCATCTGGGAGTCATCACCAACATGAAAATATCCATCATGAAACGTCAAGACAATATGATTTGTAAGTAAAGTGATATAGCTATATCTAAAGTATTTTTCCTGAGTATTGGGTAACTTATGTTTTTGTTCTTTTTGTGCAGTGAAAACGAGCTTCTTGAAGCTCCTGACCTCACACAGTTGCCCATAGACGACGTATTTACTCGTGATTTGGCAGATGCGCAGAGTCAGGAGGATGATAGTGATTATGACAACAATGCGGATGAGTCTGGGGATGACACACCCTTCCATGATGAGGGTGATGATGAGGAGGAGGAAGTGAATGTTGAACCTGAGCTGACGAGGGAGCATGTTCCTCCACCTCCCGCTAGACCAAGAGTGTACGAGTCCCACGTGCCATTTCATGAGCGAAATATTCCCTACCTTGATAATTTGCCAAGCATGCCTAACGTCGATGCCCTCACAAGGGATGATGATGAATTACGGTCAGCGATGTGGGATGAGTCTAGACCAGCTGTTCTGACAAAGGGCATGTATTTCCCCGATAAAGCTCGCCTAATTAGGGCTGTAAAAATCTACAGTATAAGAGAGTGTCGTGAGATGACAGTAAGTGAGTCAACTACGGAGAAATACAAGGTTGTATGCCGTAGGTGGTTTATGGGTTGTCACTGGATGCTGCGTGCCACAAAGAAGAAATCAGGTTTGTGGAAAGTGGGTAAATTTATTAGCGAGCACAGATGTGAAATGGACACATTCAATGAGAATCACTTCAACTTGGATGAGGACTTGATTTCCCTTGTCTTGATTCCATTTTTGGAAGTGTCCATTAGGTTCAAGATTAAAGAGTGTATTATAGCCGTCCACCAGGAGTATGGTTGTACTATAACCAAAAGAAAGGCATATCTCGGTCGCAAACGTGCCTTTGAACTTATTTATGGCGCCTGGGATAAGTCTTTTTCAAATTTGCCCAGGTACATGGCCGCACTGCAACACTTTAACCCCGGGACTGTTGTTGAATGGAGGCGTGAGCGGAGTCCGGACAGACCGGAATATATTTTCAACTATGTGTTTTGGTCATTTAAACCAGCAATTAATGGTTTTGTGCATTGTCGTCCTGTAATTTCCATAGACGGTACTCATGTCTATGGAAAGTATGATATTAAGCTTTTGATTGCAGTTGCAGTAGATGCCAACGGACAAATATTTCCACTAGCTTTTGCCATTTGTGCCAACGAAAGTGAAGAGACGTGGACGCAGTTCTTGAACCACTTGAAGCAGCACGTTGTCAAACAGCATTCAGGTATTTGTCTAATATCTGATCGGCATGGTGGTATTTTAAGTTCTGTACGTCACTTGCCTGAATGGCATGAACCATATGCATACCACCGTTACTGTGTGAGGCACCTGAAGGCCAATTTCCAGAAGAAATTTCCTGACAAGGCCTTGCATGAATTAATGTGGATGGCTGCAACTGAGCACCAGCAGTGCAAATTCACGAGGCGCATGGAAGCGATCCGGCAGATAGAACCACGATCCTATACTTGGTTGATGCAACATGAGCTTCACATGTGGACATTGCGATGATGCCCAATAGCCTATGAAACATTTAAAATAGTAATTAAATAACGCTATGTCACAATTATAAGATATTAATAAGCCACAAAAACATACCAGTGCCTCGTGCCTCCCGGCGTACGGTCTTTAGCGCTCGCCAAGTACATGAATGAGGTTCCCGATCATCATTCGGGTCTGACGGCGGTACCACTCAGCATACATATGAATAGAGGCCTCCTGGAAAACTGTAGGTGGTAGCGGAATGCGCCCAGCTCGTTCCTCCCAATAAGCTATCTGCTGCTGTAGCCATCCAATATATTGTCAGTCTATGCTGGCACGGTCGTCCTGCTGATAGTGTGTAGCCTCCCATCCAGGCTCCCTCGGTATAGGCTGAGGAAGGCCAAACTGTCGAAGCACACGCTCCGTGGCATGATACTCAACGTGATCCCAGAAGATCATCGGGACGGAGGTGCTCCAAATCAGTCGGTCGACTGAGCAACAAGCGGGTAGCTGACCAAGCAACTCGATGTTGTATGGCGTCCAGATGAACTACCAAATAATAACATAAAAATGAGTACGCAAAACACAACTCAATTTAAAACAACCAAGTGTAGGTACATATTTACCTGTCCGTCCACCAACATATCTAACACATCCCTGAGAAGGGGAAGATTATGATGAGCATCTGTCCCTCGGTAGTTCCCACACTGGAGAATCCACCTGATAGCTAGAGGGAGAAGCAGATAATCCTCACCGCGCAGAAGTGGTGGTAGAGGTGGCTGCAACGGCATGATCCGCTGCCAGGCCCAAAGCTAAGATAAAATGTTGATGTAAATTTATGAGTCATTTCACGATATAGAATTTGGAGTAAAGAACAAAGTATTCGGAAATTTATTGCACCTGTAGGAGGGGCAGAAAACTACATATATCAACCGCTGGACCTATGCTCGCCCGGCACATGCTCCTATACAGATACGCCAGAATAGTAGCACCCCAGCTGTACTGGGGTAGCTCATCCAGCTGCTCAAGACAATGGAGAAAGCGCATACTCACTTTACTCCCCGAAGTGTCCGGGAACAAGACACACCCGAAAAGCAGGAGCAACGCCAACCGAGTGTACCTCTGAATCCAAAGATGCTCCGTCTCGTGGGTAATATCTGGGTGCAAATCCGCCATCTGATCTCTAATGAATGACAAAGCAACGCGACTGCCACCCCGGTCACCCTGAGGTCTAGAACCAGTCAACTGCCCCATCATATCCGCCAACTGTGCACGTGTCATCCCTCTCCAGTGGTGGGGCAGTGCGAAGGCGCGTCCCTCTACACGCAGTCCGTATAAAACCTGGACATCCTGCAGCGTGATGGTGGCCTCTCCAGTGGGCAAGTGAAATGTATGCGTCTCTGGTCGCCATCGCTCTACCAAGGTCGTGATGAGCGACCAATCAAGCTGCATCCGTCCAAGCTCAAAAATGGTATATAATCCCGTAGTCTGGAGGCTCTCTACTACGCGCTCATGGAAAGGATGCCCCGCAATAAACTCCCACAAATCATCAGGCCTTCTGGGGCGGAGAGCCTGCATCGATAGCTGTCCCTCCCAAACATAGGAGGACCTATGGTCGCCCTGCAGCACTAGTAGCTGATCCTCGGCA